AAACGTTGGTGGAATTTTTTGTCATCTTCATTTTCATCTCTCTTCATTCTTCCTTTATCGTTTATTAATGAGAAAGGTTCAAAAGTTTTCAACCTTAAATCATTATTGCAATCTTTATACAAATTATAAAAGTTTCTTTTTTGAATAAGATATGGAAATGGAAACTTAGTTTTTATCAGACAATGTTTGATCACTCTGTTATTGAAATGTCAATGAGGTTTTTGAAAATTACAACTTTACATTGCTTTTCATGACATTCGATAGCATCAAATTCCCCTTGCATGGATGTTAACCCCCCCCCAAATCCTCCCCTCCTTAAATGAGAAGTGGTCGATGAATGTATTTTTTGAGAACAAGAAATAATTGTGACAAGTATTGATGACATAATTTATGAACGTTCCTTATTAAGGGATCGTTCACTTATGACGTCCGAAATTAACGGTCATTTTTCAAAAATTAACAATGGATTTCCAGGAATTTCTATTGTTCTCTTCTTTCTGACCCCCCCCCCCCCCTCTGGACGTCATAAGTGAACGGCCCTTAACCAAAAAACTTAATATTTTTATAACCATAAAAAGAAATAATAATGATGCATACTCTTAAAAACTTGAATCAAAAATAAAAGAAAAGTAGAAACAAAGAAAGAAGAAGTGCCACAAGACAAAGTTTTTGTTCTATATCAAAGATAGAACTGAAATAATAATAAAAAGAACCACAAAACCTCATACAAATGATAAAATAACAACGTGAAAATGTTTTGCAGAGGAAAAATGATAATTTGTAATATATGAGACTCTCAAAAGATTTGTAGTCTTCTTATTACTAAACTATTTGCTACCTTCTTATAAAAATAAAGTTTTCTTATCTCAGTTTATTTTATGGGGGCTGGATATTAAGTAATTTATTTATTTTAAATTTTCTACAATAGAAATAGAATCGATTTTTTAAATCAAGTGAGATTTCAGAACCAGAGAGAGATCTATTATGGATTATTGTGACTGATATACTGAATTCAAGCGCGAAGCCAGAACGCTCTTGCCCCCCCCCCCCCTTAAACGTTTTGAACCGCAGCGAGTGCACGGCCTAAAACGCTTAAGAGGGAGGGAGGCAAGACCCTCCTGGATTCGTCTGAACTCCTCGACACTCAACTACAGAAGGCGTTGTACTGACAGCTGTGACTACATGTAGCGCGAATCCACCAAGTTTAACCATTACTTCCTATCATCTGTTAATAACTTGTAAAATATTATTCTCATCTACTTAATTTACTTTAATAGATTCAGCTGATACAGTCAATTAAACATTTTTGTACTCTTTTAGCTGCTTCATTCTTGGTCGTCACAAAAAACAGCAATGTGTAAGTAAACGTCAATCGAAGAAAGCTCAGGAAGCGTCATCAAAATCAATGTGGCATACAGTATAAAAATCAAATTACTAGAATAGAAAGAAGTAGTTAAAGATGCATTTAGCTGCTCGGTACATTTCTCTTTTATATTTATTTCTACATCATTTGGCAGTAATGAAACTAATTAAAAGCTCTAGAGATGAACAATATTCAATCTTTGCTTCATAGTTTCCAACAATGAAGACGAAGGCAAAAGAGATGACGGAAAAAGTTCTTTTTGAGCAGAAACTTGAGAAGCAGAATAAAATAAGATTGCATGATTTATGTCAAGAGACGAAGAGAAAGGAAGAGAAATGGCTAAATCAACACAATCCAATGGAGTAGTCTATTTAATTATGAATTGGATTTTTATGACACTTCCTTAAACGAGATTAAAGCTTAGTGCTAAAAATTTCATGTTCAAAAGCAGATTTTTCATCGAATTAAAATAATTTGAGGATGTTCCGTTCTGATTCTCTTTTATGGGTCGAAAGATAATGTCAAACACATTTGTTGGATATTCATATAAATTTTAGTTTAGTATAAAAAAATTTTGGTTATCCTGAATCATGACCATTTGTATATATACATATTATCCTGGTGAGTACATTTTTAATCTCTAAAGCTGTATTGTACTATAAACTAAAAAAAAGTATTATCAATTATGTAGAATCACAGCCCAGATCATCATTTTTGGGATAAAAATAAAATATCAGATAAGTTATGACATGACATTGTGATTTTTCGTACTTAAATACATTTTATGTTTGTATTTTCCATTCATTGAATATTCATTCTATAGCTGGTGATTTTTCTTCATGCACTGCAAAAAAAATGAACAAGAAATGAATGTGTGGAACATTTAAAACCATAATTTATGTTTATACGTTTGCCTGTTGGTGCTTAACTGTATGAACATAATTTCAAAACTATGTAACGGTACGTAATCTGTCCAATCTTCTATAAAAACTTTTTTCATGTACACAGTCGAATTGCTGAAAAGGTTGAGAATGTCTCGTTGGTTCTAGTTTATAAAGCATTTTTATTTTGAAATTTAAGCAGTGAAATGGCATCAATGGCCTAAATGGTAGAGCGTTTGCCTTACGTGCCAAAGCTCCTGGGTTCAATCCCAGGCCATGTCTAATTTTCGAAGCACTTTTTCCATTTCACCGTTCTAGTTACGAAGCATGGTTCTTTTGACGTACTCGTGTCTTTGTAATGTGCAGAGCTTGCAAGTGGTTCAGTTCCTACTATAAACTATAGGTCTAAAGGGTATGGTACAATAGAATCTTTACAAATTGGATCGCAGTGCCTCCAGCTGAAAGGCTGGGCCCTTCACACATTATTATTATTATTAAATGTTAATGCTGTCCAAAAGGACGATATTGGACACGACATTTAACATCTCAGCTTCTAGAAATACTCGCTAACTCTTTAACAACATGAGTTCCATACGTTATTGTTCATTTTTTTCTCGAACCGGACTACGATGAAGGAAATACAACAAGAAACGGGGGTATTCGCAATGGAACGGCAGTTTCAATCTTCACTCTTGCTCTACCATTTCTTTACTCATTCTATATCAATTCCATTCTGCATGCGTTTTATTTTCCATCTCATTAATTTTCACTCAGCACCTCATCGTGCTCGTTTCTCTCTCCCAAATGCTTTTATAACATACCATTGAAAGTGACATCACCGACGACGACATGGTGCACGTCCAAAAAAAGAGGGGATTATTTTTATGACAAACGATGTGATGTAGTTAAAAAAAAGGAATTGTGAATGTCTTTAGATCTATCATCATTATAATGTGTTCATGATAATGTGAATGTTGAGCGAACATGATGAAAATTTTAATTTATAGCATATTTTCTTGAAAGCGAACGTGGTGTTATTGTTGACAAGCTGTCTGTAAACTGTGGACTCCTATGTTGAACGATATGACACTTGAACATTTGTTATAAATGTACAAAAAAGGCCTAGACAAGTCTATTGCAAGGAGGAAACAACTTGGTGGAAAAATAATTCCACTGGCACTTGAAATTGGTTGGTTCCTCTCTGGACTATTGCGAATGATGCGCTTTATTCTACTCAGTATCAAGTATCAAGACATTTACTTCTGACTTTATAGAAGGAACTTTAAGAAAGAAAAATCAATTGTATAAGTGGGATGGTATAACTTAGATGAGGACAGAGGTGCTTAGTAAAGTATAAAATATAGCTATTTTCCATCCCACATGTCAACATAGCACTAAAGTTAAGTATCCTATCAGCAGCATTAAACTAACTACATTGAGTACTTTTATTATGCATTCGCATGTAGAAGATAAAACGAGGATGTAAGGAACAAAGGTGAGGAGCTGCTTTCAATGCTCCATTAAGTATTTCACATTCATATTGTATTTTTCTGACACATTTGATTTGGAAATTTAAATTATATGCAAAGCATGACTTCTTTAGTGATATTTACAGTTGGTGTCGTTGAATATCAAAACACTCGAGGTTTTTTTGTGTTTAAATGCAGCTTTTATTCTCATTTGCATCGTAAATAACATTTCTCGCATTTTCTTTAATAAAGTTCTGTATTAAAATTGAGCTTTTACATTTTAATACTTCCACACTCTTCCGACTTCCTTCTTTTTAGTATTCAAAGTAAAATTCTCATTAAATGTTGAGTAAAAATGTCAGCTTTTCATCAAGAAACAAACAGACTTACAATTCTTCTTTTACTGCTATTCCCCTTTAATTGAACTTAATGACTGCATTTTATGACAATGGTGATGAGCATGATGATGGCATTAAAGATTGAAATAAATGCTTTAATTTCAGACTCGTCTTGTGCTTTAAAAATTCATTAGATGAAAACTTGTCTTAATTAATTATTATGTAATATTATATGGATGTATTAATTGCTTATTATACTTTAACTAGGCTTTTTGAGGGCGCCCGTTGTCAGGGGTTAAATTTGAATACTTTTTTCTAAATAACTGTAAGATGCAAATAATAATAAAAGAATAATGAATTTCCAGGAATTGCTGACCCCCCCCCCCCTGGACGTCATAAGTGAATGGCCCCTAACTATTTAAAGTCAATTTTAACACAAAAATTCACATGTGGGACCTCCTTAATCCCACAAAACTTTATAAACGGTTTCACAAAACTTCATATGGCTTCACAAACTCCCCGAAACTTGGACCCACCTTACTCCACACCTGACACCCAACCCCCACCTGACAACCACCTTGTCAATACTCTCCAAATTATTGGCTTCACACAGCTTCCGTTCTAGAGTCGTAGATCGTAGATCGTAAAAGAATCGTAGTTGGTAGGAATTACAATTTTTAACAAAAAATTGCGTAACTCCTCCCGAAGCTTAAGCTTCATCCACTGTCAAACATCATCAAAGAAAATTCAATTTTTTCAAGGTTTCAAAAATATTATTCTAAACAACATGTTTTTAAGGAGTCAAGTGAAAGAAAATGCCGATTTAAAGCTTAACAAAAACGTAAACAAACCGTTGCTAGGCTACGATAAATCCATCAAAACAAAAAACTGATAAACAAAAGTGAATAAAAAGTAAAAATTATATCAAGTAAAAAAATTATAATTTAATAAAAGTCAAAAGCTAATTGAAATTAAATTGAAGCTGAACAGCAATAATTACAGAGACCGAAAATGTCGCTATTTAAAATTATTAAACAATTCACATATCAGTGTCCGGACAACAATGAAAATTACGATTCATATTCACTTACTTGTTCACGGTTGAATGCGAATAATGAACAGCAGAAGGATTGTGTTATTATTACATCACATTCGGGTTACATTTCAATTTTACAGCCATCAATTAGTGATGATAGGGAAGCGAGTAATCAGCAGGCAATTGTAGACGAGAATCATCCGCATATTGTATATGAAGCGAAACTTAATGAACCAATTCTGGGTGTATTATGTGGGAACTTTATTCAATAGTAAGTTAAATTTTCATTTTCGGAATTAATGGAATTTGTTTAAAATGGAACTATTTTATACAGTACACAAAAGCAGGATCGACAAAATCTAGTTGCTATATTACATCCGAATAAGCTTGCAATATATTCGCTTGTGACATCAGAGGGATTTGTTGAGCAAGGTAAATAAATAAAATATCTCATTGTCTTTCTAGCGGCACAAAGCTTACCTCAAATATTTACAATTGTCTCGAGTGGATATTAATAAAGAAAAAGAGAGACGGACGAAAATCAGTAATGACTGTGGGCGAATGATTGAAGTGCTCTTTGGAAATCAACAAAGATACCCAAAGTGCACGAGGACCCAAACTCATTTAAAAACAAAAAATTGGATGTCTTGCGTTGTTTACTATCTGAGAATATTACAATTTTAAATCCCTTGCATCTGTCATTTTAGGAGAACAATCAAAATTACAGTTGATACATCAGCATGAACTTAATAAACCAACATTCACATTCTGTAAAGGCAATTTTGGAGGAGTTAAAGGGAAAGAGTTCATCTGTGTTATGTTTATCGACGGATCATTGAAATTTTTCGAGCAGGATGGAATAAGCCAAAACTGTATATTGCCAGGCAATCGAACAATTCCAACGTCCTTTGTTTATGTACCAAGAATTGATTGCTTTATGATTCTTGCGCCTAATTGGGATTTAGAATGCTATCGGTATGTGTTTTGATTTTTATATAGGATGTAAATGCACAGTGCACCTTTGTTTTTTTTATGCATTAATAGCCCGAGCGACAGAAATGATAAGTTGTCAATACGGATCTATCATGGCTCCAAAACTGATTAATTTATTAACAATTTTATGAAATTTACTAAGGGGCCGTTCACTTATGATGTCCAGGGGGGGGGGGGGGGGGGGGGGTCAGACAGAAAAGAACAATAGAAATTCCTGGAAATCCATTGTTCCTTTTTGAAAAATGACCATTAATTTCAAATGTCATAATTGAACGGCCCCTAAGTAAAGGATAGATTTACATGATGAACGGAACTAAAGGTGAGGATCTCATCAAAATAGTACTTGAATGGATTCGTTACTTTTTAATTTGTTTCGCTCGGGTGAACATGAATAATGAACAATTGTTGTGCATCAACAATCAAGCCTCCAAACGTCTACCACTCACTTGCATAGATTCGCAATAATTTTCCACCTCTTTGCACAGATATCTTACACTATCGGAAGCATACGAGCGACGGCTAAGTCCAATATGGTCTATGAATGTTGGCGAATATATTCTGGATATGAAAACACATCAAATCAGCAAGTGAGTGTTTGATTTACTGTGATTTTTAATTTATTTCTGAATTACCTGCCTTTTGGATTATTAAAGTATTGAAGCTGTGGTCGTTCTGCTTGGTGAGAACAACTTGATCTGCCTTTCAGACTCTGGAAAATTAAAATTTTTCAAAAAGTTGGACTATACACCAATTTCATTTTGTAAACGTTCATTTATTTAAACTAATGTTGTTCAAATAAAATATTTAAATTCATTTTTCAGGCACATTTACAGTTGGATGGTACTTTGGTATGTAGAAATAAAGGAACTCAATTTTCTAATCAATTAAATTCACAAAACTAATTTTCCCGTTTAATTGACCAATAATCTAATCGCTTAATAGAACCAGACTGTAAGTTGATGATAGCTGTAGCAACCGACAACGGATCTCTATTAATCTATCAACATTCAACATTGGTTTGGTGTGCAGAACTACTAGATGAAACGATTGCAATAGACCGTGGTAATTTTAATTGCTTTTCGGGTGCAATTGTCACATTGAATTCTACTGGAAAATTGACAATTGGCTATTTGGGATCAGAACCGCATATTTTCAAGGTTCCAGCATTGAACCTTTCGAAATTAGATTACGAGAAATCTAAAATGGAATTGGAAGAAATGGAAAAGGAAATAAATTCGAGCGTTGATAATTCTGGTAAGCGGTTCCACACACAAAAAAAAAACAATTAAATTTAACACATTTCATGCAGATATTCCTTTTATTAATGCAACGGCGGAAAAGGAACTGGAAATTAAATCACGACTCGAGTTTGCAGATCCCAGTGATGGAACATTTATGCGAATTTGTGTAAAATTCATACCACACATAAATCTTGAACAAATTCAACTTAATATAATGCAGAATCCGGCATTTGCAATACCCAAAAGCAATTTCTTTTATAATGACTTGCAAGCTCATGAAAAACAATCATTTGAGACGGAAATTTATTTAAGCGAATCAGAAGTTGGTGAGATATTTTCAAGCGATGTTGCTATTGTCGTGACATTTATTAACAAACAAAGCATCGCTCGTATCCTAAGGCATTCCATACAAGTTCCATTAAGAAATGTTGTGAAAGTTGTACAGCCGCAAAAGGATGGCATTTTTAAAGTGACATTGACATCCTCACCAACCGTTGATATTTCTGTGCTCTTTTCAGGTACGAAAAGAAAGACGAGGAAGTAATTAAAATTTTTAATGGTGTGCAAATTATTTATAGACTTGACATTGACGGAAGTTGGGCAAGCAGTTGGTTTGAAGATTCTCAATTCTGAAAATCCTGTGACTGTAATTTTAGCAAAATCATCAAATCGTTACAGGTTAGAGACATTTTCTGATGCTGTTCTGTTTTGGACGATCAATTGGTTTAAGCTAAGCTGTTTCCAGGAGGTCTTTTCTCTCATATTTGAATATGCTGGCGTGCCCTTAGAAACCAATTGCAGATTCAATACAGCAACAGTTGTTTAAAAAATTGTTAAAGTCTAACAAACCTTTTGAACGTGCAATGACTTTTATAGCTTCAGACATTACTAATTAATTAATTTAATTATTCACATAATATCTCTGAAAATCCTTTAATCAGATTACAATCAAACAGTCTCGTTAGTTTGGCATATATGCTGAATATAATGATTGATCGATTGTCACAGGTAGGAGAGGAAACAGCCACAACATCAGTTGACCATAAAAACATCAAATCTATAACGGTGAAATCGATTCCATCATCAACCATAGAATACATGTTGTCATGTATCGAGAAGCATCATAATATGAGAAATGAAATGAAGGGCGTTGTTGTAAGTTGGAATTAGGAACGTAATCCTCTGAAAAATTGATAAGGCTTACTCGATTCTAATGCTTTTTTATGTCCAACCCGCATTGTCCCTTTTTGTTGTGGCTTTTGTTAATTTTTTTGTCATGTTCCATTCTCTTTCTTTTCTTGTTCCCTCGTTTCTATTATTGTTGGCCATGGAGAATCCATAAAAGTGCCGAATCCTTTTTTTTTCATTGTGGGTCCGCAGACATTTTACGACCCATCGTTATAATAATAGAATTTATGAAAAAAATAAAAAAAATCAAAGCTCCTTTTCTATAATAGGAAATGCTGTCATCAAAGTCCATTGAGATGCGACTTTTCGAGAGGTGCTTCTTAGTGAAAATGCAAGGTAAAACTTCGGCAAGTACAATGGATGGAATCGAGTTGTTATTGCGTGACACATATAATGAAATTTTAGCATTAAGTGGGAGATACAAAGCTATTAAAGGAAATCTTAACAGGTGAGGATAATTATGATTCTGTAATTAAAATGATATTGTTTTGATTTAATTAAGATTTATTTAATGAATCAAGGAATGTTGTGCCTTAATTGAATATTACGAGTTATGAATGATTTATGGCAAATTTTTGAAAAACAATTGGAAGACTTAGAGTTAAATTTTCTTCAGAATATATTTTATTCAAATTGGAATCAATGCTTTAAGAGCAACTTCCAGATGAAATGTTGTAAGCATTTAGGGGTCGTTCACTTATGACGTCCATCAAAAAACCTGATTTCCCTTTGTCAAAAAAATTCTATAGAAACAATTTCTATTGTTTGAACTGTCTCAAAATCCTAGACCCCCCTCTCTCCCTAAATGTTGGACGTTATAAGTGAACGGCCCCTTATAGCGATTCCTTGTTATTTTGATAATAGTCTATGAATAATGATTGAGAGATAAGTGATCGATCTTTGTTGGGAATTGAACCCTTGCCTTTAAATAAATTTTTTTTAAGGGATAGTTGTCTGATCTGTTAGCTATTCAACCACCGAGATCTTATTCTCATACTGACAAATTTATCCTCATATGCCTCAAGATCCCACCATCAACTCTGCTCAGATACCAAATTCCAAATAGTAATTTAAATTTCTCGATAAATATGATGAAAAATTATTCTTTTCAAATTATGTACTTCTCCTATGGCCATTAACTCAACATGAGGTAATTCTAGTTTGCGGTCTCGACACTTTTCTAGAATAGAAGCAATCCAATATCACTTCTCGAGCACCACTTTATTAAATTGTTGTGAATTAATTTCCCATTTTATCTCATTTTATATTTCAGTAAATTCATGTAGTGATGTAGCATGTAGAAGGTCTCATTTTGATAGGATTTATTCACTTGAAACGAAAACGTTTATCCTGTGGCTATTTTAATATTGTGAATTTAATTTAATGAAAACTGAGTAAACGAGTGAATTGCTTCCGAGCTTGATGCCTTTTAATAGCTTTAAGCTGGATCGTAGCCAGAAATATTTCAAGGCAGTTTTACCAAAAATGTTTAACTAGGTTTTGTGTCCTAATAACTACTCCCCTCTTAATCACTCATTCAGCCAGTCTGACAATAATTTTTTATTTCACATGATCCCCAATAAAAACAGCACATAAAATATGATAAAAATTTATATTCATCCAAACCTCACATCTTGTCCCATCCACACAGAGTTCAAATTCAACTGACATCGACAATTTATTTTATCCGTAAAGTGATTGAATATGCAGATTTACCGCAAAAAATTACCGAAAATTTATTGTGCATCATGCGATTGAGTTTAATAGATTTTCAAGAGCAGAGCTGGATTGAATCCTTGGCACCATATGTAGATTATCTGTATAACATGTATCAAGTCAAAGGAAATCAAAATCAATTTTATGACAGCATCACATTCAGGAATGACAACTTTTCCTTAACGAGATTCTCAAAACAATTGAAGCATGTATTGTCAGTGCTTACAGATAGCTCTACAGATGATAAAAAGACAATGGAGAACGCTTTTATAAAGGAGGAAAATGAAGCAACGTCAAATGCTGATAATGATAGTGAATGGAGTTCCAAATTAAATCCATCACATGAAATTATGTCAACTGATAATGAATAAGGATAAGCATGTGAACCATATTCATTGAGTGTGTTGGAAGCTACACAATACATGATTAAACAAAGGATGGGCCTTCTTTGTCAATAGGAAATTGCGATGATTAATTGGATGAGTTATTGTGGAAGCAAAAACATAATTTAAGGATTTAAATAAATTTAATGTGGATTTGAATCGAATCAATTTAAAGTTTTATGTCTTTTATTCTTTGGAAGTGTAGCATCGGTGTTGCCAAGGGATCAATCCTTCCTGGAACTTCATCATGTTGTTATCCATTTGGGTTTGTATCACATTTATACCAATTTATGCTCTAAAAATCAAATATGAAATTTTATTATTCTGCATAACCTCAATAACTTGACAATTTTTATATATCCAACATTGGATACTAGTTAAACTTCCTTCCATAATATAGTCAGCTTTCACTAATACTGTGCAGTAAGAAGGAAATGTCATTCTCGTATCATTTTTAAATCCTCATCATAAACTTCCTTGTTATATAATCTCTGCAGATATGCATGATGTAATGCATTACAAAGTGATATGAACCTTCTTTATAATTATTTTATGAATGTGAAAAGCTTTATGCATGAAGAGAGCACCTTTCTTCTTATGCCTAGAGTCTTCAGACTCTTGTAAGTATTAAAGAAAATCTCTTTAAATCCTCTGAAATACAAATTTTAATGCAGCAAGTTCAAGTTTCCTTGGTATTTCTACATTATCATTATATTACATTTAATACATCAATTAATTTGTTGGTAGAGTTGATGATGTTTCCAATAGACATGTACATCCCTTTAAGTACACACTATTGAGTGAATAGCAAAAAAAAAAAGGCTGAAATGTTCTAAACGATGATGAAAGTCGGCAAATGAAGATGAATAGATGGAGAAGCAGTGATGTGCAGTATTTCTACTATAGTTTGAAATAAGTCCGTGGAATGGGGTTTGGAAACCTTAATTGTTAAATGTTTGCAGAGATGATAGAAGTAAATATTAAATTTAATTTTCAACTTAAACAGACACAGGCGTACATATACGTTTGGATGTACAAAAGTAAATGACACATTGCAGCAGATTGAAGCTTTAATATTTTAAGCGCACATCTTTGTTGATTATTCTTTAAATGCTTTAATCGGTTCAACTTGGTATAAGCTAATGACATTGGAAGTCCCAAATTTTGTTCTGACTCCTTAACTCTCATTGGCACTCTCTTTTTAAGGCAGTGTTGTTCAAACTGTGTGCTGCGGCATCAGGAAATGACACTAGTTCTATGCTTTGTACGACTTTGGTCATGGCTTACCATACATAGCTCAATAAGTTTAAGACAACACTGGTTTAAGGTATGAGACAACTTGCTCCACTCAACTAGCTTCTTTCAATAAAATTGAAGTTAAAAATGTTGATGCATGTAACATAAGTGAAACGAAATAAGCCCTTTTTGCCATTTGTCTGTATTAAGATGATTAAATTTCCTCCTCAGTTTGCTTACTCTACTGTCTTGATATTTACAGTAATTAGACGAAATGCTTCAAGAAGTTTAAAAACTGCTGAATCTCTCGTTGATAGAATTATGTTTGTGAAAGTATCTGTGAAAGTGGTCAAATGGAAAATTGGATTTTAGAGATGAATTTCCTCAATTCATCTCCTTTGACGAGGCCGCAAAAACTCTCATCTGCTGTGCTGTAATTGAGTTAAATATTTCAAGCTTACTGTTGAAAGTTTCTTGAGGTTTTCTGGTGCTAATTTTTCATACTCCGGGATTTACTTGGATAAAAACTTTTCACTGGAAGCAAATAAGTTGATGAACTGTTTAAGGCTATTTGCTGACATTTTTAAAATACGGATGTAATCCTCAACCATATCATTATTGGAAATTTTCATTTTTTTTTCTTCACATTTTAACCCCTCAACTTGTCGTATTACTTACAAAACTTTAAAAGAACGAACGACATTAAACCATGAAAGAAATGTGAAATGCTGCATGACGACAGATAAAATTGAAAAAAAAAATAAATAAATAGATACAGAAAAGTAAAAAAATTGTTTTCTACCACAGACAAGCTATAGTCAGTAAATGTACAATAAAAAAGTATGGGAAGCATAATGGTGCAATAAGGGAAGAAACGCATTTGACAAATAACACCATGACAGCTAGTGTCATGCCTTGGGTCGGTTTCTAAGGCTAAGGAGTGTTCCTTACCAGTCAATTCTAGGGTTTGATGTTCTTGTACGCAAATAAACCAGCCTATTCCTTAAAGTCTGATGTTAAAAAAATCAAATCCGAAAAATTACAAATCAGCCATAATAAAAACAATAAATCCAATCATTCCCGACAAATGTGGTTAGTTGTAGCAGCAGCAAAATGGCATTTGAAATTATTTTACACTTGATTGAATTTGATTGGAATTTTGTTCCCGCTCCCTTCCATTTCTTCATCGCAAATCTCCATTTATTTTCAATAATGATGTTGAAAGGATTGGATGCTGCAGTCATGAGCATAATAATGTACAATGTTTAAAACGCAAGGAAGACAATTTATGCGAATATATTCAGCCTTTCTCTAATCAAATGAAAATCGTCGAAAGCAATTTTTCTAGTCAATGGTGTTAATAAAATCAGATCATGCGACTATTCAGTTCCTCTATGAAATTAAACACGCATCTATGAATGTTTAGCGAGGAAGTATTCATTCGAGCGATGGTGAAAAGACATTTATCGCAATTTCTACATGACTTTTATTGGACAATAAATTCAGCAATTTTATAGTATGTCTGCTATTGAACAGCAATTTGAGATTGGAATTTTGTTCACACTTACACGCACATGAATTCTCGTATTAAATAACTATCAATTTGATTCCTAAATGTGCTTTATATACCTTTTGAACAAGCTAGATAAATTCAATTCCATATGATGAAGCACTAAAATAATAATCATATGCTGCAGTCATTTCCATTTATGGAAATTTTAAAAAAAATATTTCAAAATTAGCAGCAATTTAATTGATTTCTGATGACTTTTAAAAGCAAATTAATTTTGATGAGACCACATTTGGTGAACATTAAAATATTTATAAACAGCACACAGTCATTTATTGAAATACTAAAGTACCTTTTAAACCAACTCAATTATTTTAAATTGACGTGTGGTATTTTATTATTACATCAAGGAGGTGAACAATTTCATAATGTCTATAATTACTTCTTCATATGATTACACTGGATGTTTACTGAAAATTGTAAGTTTATGCTGTTTTACAATTTTTAAGCTGGGCAAGACCGTTTTTCGATTAAGTGTCAGATTTTGCTATTATTTCGTTTATATCTCTGTAACGAAAATACTTACAGTAAAACTAAACATACTGTTTTATAGAACTTTTTGATGCCTATCTTTTGGTATGTAACTTTTTATTGGAAGTACTATACTTAAGGCTGTAGAGCCTGAAAATAGGCAAAATCTGACACTGAATTTTTGGGAAGGGTATTTGAAATTTTACTAAAACTAGTCTATCTCGCTTAGTTTTACACCGATTTCGATAGTTTTTTCAGCAATAGTTAGTTTAAAACTATAGTTATCATTAAAAAGTAATAAAAATAAAATGGCGACTTAATAAGTTAATTTAATTAATGTTTTTAACCTTATTTTCATATATTTTACTATCAATTTTTAACTTACTTAACTTTTTTCTTGACACAAATATAGTTTTAGACCTTGGCTTTATGATAGAAGTCAAAATTTTTTGAAAAAAGTAGTATAATTAACTTTTTTTGGTCATTTTGTAAAATTGCCTTTAAATGGCAATTGAATAGATATTCTTTTAATTTTATGATGTAAAATGATAATTATACATCAAATATGCTTAGTTTTAGCAAAATATATCACAATATAATGTTATAGAACAAGAAAAAAGCAAAAACTTTAAAAACTTTAAACAAAAATTTTCAACCGTTTTTGAAAATTTAAATTTTTGACTTGATTAAAGAGTTGTAAAATAAACTTTTGGTTAAATTAACTAAATTAGAAGGCTTTATTGCAGTAAATTCTTGCAGGAAAGTTGTAATTTATCATTAATTAATGCTTTTTGAGGGACAATAATGAAAATTTCATTAAATTTATATGTAAAATCAATTTTGGTTAATTTAACTAATTTTGTGTATTAATTTGAAAATGTGTGTACGATAAATGAAAGAAAATAAGATTCTCAACAACTTTTATGAACATATCAGCTCCTTTTACAGCTTCCTTCTTGGATAAAAATCACTTTGAATGTTTGATTTAGAAATTAAACTAACTTATAAAGTCGCCATATTAAAATTATTGGGTTAAAAATTCAGTTTTTATATTTGGCTATAAGCCACTGAAAGAATTGTGACGATTGAATAACCAAACTCTGAGTGAATCAACTTTCAATATTTGTTCACTTTTTTCGCGGTCTTGCCCAGCTAATATTTTGAATTTGAAAAAACCTGGCGCCAAGGTTGGAAATTGGGTCGCCTGGCACAGGCACAGGTGACAGATCTGTCATATCTGCCCACAGATATACCAGATCTGTGCCTGTTAACAGACAATATCTGTGACAGATCTGTCATCTGTGCGTGTGATAGGCAATTTAATTTTATCTATCACAGGCACAGATCTGTTATATCTGTGGGCAGATTTGACATTTCTATCAGAGATCTTTGACTGTGACACATAAAAAAAATATTGCCTGTCGCATACACTGCCTGTTAATAGGTAAATGACAGGTGATTGCCTGTGACAGATCGCAACTCTGAGTGCGTCTCAAAATCCCATTTTTCGATGATCGTCATAAGGGACCGTTCACTTATGACGTCCGACATTTAGGGGAGGGAGAGGGGTCTAGGATTTTGTGACAGTTCAAATAATGGAAATTTTTGTCTACAGAATTTTTGTGACAGAGGAGGGGGGGGGGGGAGGGGATCTAAAAATCAGGTTTTTTGATGGACGTCATAAGTGAACGACTCCTAAGTTAACATCCTCAATTGTAAAGATCAACTTGAAGACAGTATTAAAATAAATCCAATCTTCTTTAAGACACAATTAAATTTTATAAATCATCATTATCTTAGACTCTGAAATTGAAGTCTTTAAGAGACTGTCGTAAAAGTCGATATTT